CATTTGCATAAAAGGTACAAAATGATAATAAATATGATAACAATAACAAAATGATATAAATAATAATATTTTTGTAGAAGTGAAAATTTCAAATCATGGAATCATTGCCGGTATAAATATTAGAAATACAAAATTACGTAAGATGAGAGCAGCTGATAGTAATGTGACATGCTATGACATGACAACAATCAAATGATCAGCCACGTAGAAAAAAGGAAAAAAAAATGTAATATTGCCGTAAAAAGGAAAGTTTATTCGAATTGAAAATAAATACAATAAACAATGGGAATTTATTATGTAAGCATAAGAAAGGGATAGTTATTATAGTTTTTTAATAAAAAAAAGAAAGAAAGAAATTCTACTAACATGCTTATTTGTTTTCATTAATTATATCATTCATTATGCTTCTGTATTAAACTTGAAATTAATTAATAATGAATTTAACATTCAAAACGGAATTGTATTGAATAGTAATTCAAAATGCAATTTGAAATTCACAATGCAAAATGGAAATGTGTAAATAATACAATATTCAAAAGATTTTGTGATAAATTTTATTCAGGCAGATAAAAATGATAACATGATGATTACGATTATCAAATGACATGCGGTTAAATTTCTTGAAGCAGTACCACTTACATTATTATCCTTTAGATGTTGCAAAGTTTCCATTTCGGATAATGTCCTGAAATTTTAAAAATCGTTGTTTATTTTCTTGTAATAAAGGAAGAATTCATTTGAGAAAATAAATATTTCAATTTTATATTTATTTTTGATTATTTCATTAAATTTTCCAACAAATATTAATGAAATCAGTTGAAACACTAAATTATTACCAAACATTTACAAACAAATTATTTATAATTTTGCAATAAAATACTGTAACAATTAATTTTATTTTAAGTGACAAATTTTTTGGATGCATATTTATTTTCCTAATTTAATAAATGCTTTACCAGGTATTTGATTTGCTAGCTAAATACGGTAATGATGATGTTGGTGTAGGTTTTACAGCCTGAAAATAAAAACCAAATTTTTGCTAATTTATTTAAATTGACAATTTTTATTGCTAAAATTTCTTTTTTAAATAAAGATATTAACATTTTTTTATTTTTTATTTAAAGCTTACATTATTTGCTGTAATTTGAGACTGTGTAATGGCTGATGAAATGAACGAATCGGTATTTTCATTGAATATCGAATTAGTCAATAAATGGCTTACACTACCACTGCAAAATATTCATCAATTATGCAAATTTTATTGTGTCATATAAAAATCATAATAATGAATATTTCATAATATCATGATAATTATGATAAGCATAATAATGATTAGTGTGTTTAAAAGAAATGATAACAATTGAGTTGTTTGAGATAATAGAATAATGATTGCATAACAGTGTTATGATAATTGTGATAATTATCACAATCATTGCTTTAAATAGCAAAATAATGATGATAAAATAAATGATGCATAATAATATTGTAATGAATGTGATAATTATAATAAGAATCGTTATATCAATTGAAAAAAAAAGAAAAAAGCCTTCAAGTTTCATTTGAATTATATTTCGAGTTATATGTATATTTTCAATTCTATCACTTAAGTTATAATTTCAGTTATTTGACAATCATGATCTTATCATCGGTAGAAAAATTAAAAAAAAATTAATTAGAATAATTTTAATATCATAACCTTTGGGCTAATTTTTCAGCTTGCTCCAATAAACTTTCCTTGTTACAGTAATATCCAAAGCATAAACAATAAGCCTGTGAAGCATCCAATGTTCTCATACAAATAAATTTTTGTTGTGATATTTCATCGAATGTAATTTCATTTTCTTCAGTATCCGTGCTACATCTTTTTTCTAATTTATACAAATCTAAAAACAAAAAAAAAGAGGCAAAAATAAAAAATTGATAAATGCAATATTTAAAGTTGAATTATTTGACTTTTTTTTTTCCCCAAACAAAAAGATAGGAAATTGTAAATAAATATGTTAAAGTAAAAATGTCAATGAAGTATACTGTGACAGAAAAATGATCATAAAAATATGTTCGAATAAATTGCAGAATTTCTTTCTTCAAAAAAAAAAAAGAAAACCTTGACAAAAAAATGGATAGAGAAAAAATCAATTTAAAAAACGAATTAATAAAAAAAAAACCAGTTTAAAAAATGAATTAATAGAAAAAAAATCAGTTTAATTTAATCTCTAAATTTAATTCAAATTTGAATATTTGTTTAATTCATGTTTAAAATATAATCCTCATTACAATTTCATGGCCAATGTTGCATTTTTCAATAGAATAAAATATTAATTTCGAATAAATGTATACTGTAAAGTTAAATGAAAAATTAAAATCCGAACTATCATTTGCTAAATGTGTCTGTTTGGTTATACACATTTGACTTCGTTTAGTAATTTCTGAAATTGGACATTGAACAATTTTAGCATTTATGCAATCTTTTGTCGGATCATTCAAAATTTCCACACAACTGTAGCAATAATTTTCATTTGTTGCCTAAAAATTTTGTAAAATATAATTAAATTTTAAAATTTAATCCAAAAAAAGTAAAATTTAACTTAACCTAAATTTTATTACAGTCTATGGAAAATACTCTTTTATTTTCTCCCTTTTTTTTAATCAAATTTTGACAATTTTTTTTTTATTTTCAATTCCTTCATGTTCATTTAAAGAATTTATATTGCAAAGTCCTTTAAAACTACTATGTAAATTTTGATAAAATTTAAAGGAAATTAAGCATAGCATTAAAAAATAACATTTTGTTGTGTAATTTCAAAAATTTTTACCATTTCTTCGGATGTTATAAATTTTCCAGCAGTTTCATCCATTCCCACACTGAAATTTACATATGGATGAAATTCCTTTCCGGTAAAATATAATTTTAAATAGCATTTATTAGATGAATTACTACAAATTAACCGATGTCTATTTTGTCCGGATGAAATTGTCGTTATGATATTATCAGTGGCATGATTTTCTTTTAATGGAAAGCTTGACATTTGTTGTGATAATCCTAAAAGTATTTGATGAATTTAAAAAAAAAAAGTAGTATTTCAAGAAACTAAAAGCATTTCATGAATTTTGAATTTAAACATTTTCAATCGAATTTTTTGTAAAATTCATTTGAAACAATCTGATTCATTTTATTATATCAACAAACAGTAGTAAATGTAAATGTCCCAATAATATCATTTACATTCCTGATATCACTGAAATATAACAATCATTTATCTGTTGTTTTCTTACACCCTTACGTGAGATGTCATATATTTGTCGCGAAATGGGATGATTATTTACATAACCCGAATTACTCTCTTCAATATTATCATTAAATTGTCCATCAGATAATGTCGTTTTTAATGTTCCATAATGGAAATTTGTTTCAATCTGAAAGATATGAAAAAAAAGAAAAAAATTCGGTAAAATAAAATTAAAAAATTTATTGTTTGTAATTATTTACATTAATTATTGTCAAATATTTGACAAAACCTGAGGTGTAATTGGTATTGTAGGATAATTTAATTGTGTTGAATATCCTTGTAATGATGATGGTGCTAAAATTTGTTCATCATATTTATCATCAATAGCATCATTATTTGTAGCAGCAAAGATTTCAGGATGATTCTGAAATAAATTAATTCATTTTAATTGATCCTAATTTATCGAATTTTCCATAACGGTTTGTTAGAATATAAAATAGCTTAAAAAATTTTGTAAATCATAAATTAATTTAGATTTGATAAATAGTGATAAAATTATTCAAATATAAAATTAAATTATTCTTCACCATTTTTTTCCATGCTTAAAACGAAAGAAGTAAAGGCAAGATCTTGACAAATCTAATTTTTTGTTTTTTTTTTTTGCAAATTGATTTATTTATAAAATATAAACCTTTCTTTTTTTTCGTAAATTAATTAATTTATAAAATTTTTTATTCACTTCTTCAAAATCAATAAATTGATCGATGATATTTTTCATGTTGCAAAAACTTTTCCGGCATAAGCAATATGCTAATTCATCACCATCCACCTCGATCAAATCACATTCCTCATTGAATGAATATTGTTTTGGTGGAAATATTCGATAATGATCTTGTTCGCTAATACATTCCTTCATGATTGTATAACTACCTGTTAAGTATAAAATTATAGTAATTAATTGATGATTTGATTCCCTGAAATTTATTAATTTGTTAATATGTCATCATCATTATGAGAACATTTCACTGTAATTTAAAATATATCAAATTATTCCTCAATTAATTATTGTTCATTAATTGTTTTTTGCTAAGTAATGAGTGTTTTTCAACTTAAATTAAAACATTTTTCATAGTCATTTTTTTCTTCATCCAAAAAAATTCTTCATATTTGTTAACTGAATATGTTAAATATTTTAAAATGTAAAATTATAATTCGAAATTTTTACCATTTCTTACTCGTTTTCGCATTGTTCGACAAAAAATTGGCTCATTTAATTTGAAATTTTTTGCATAATTAGTACAATCATAGCGGTATTGTGCATGGCATTCACCGCCCTCATCCAAATTTTCATCACCACAAATGTAACATTCTAGGCTAACAGTATCTGAATGTTTAGTTTGATAAATTGTTGAAATTTAAATGATATTTTAAACTTACATTTTTTGCAAAAATATATTCTATACTAGAAAAAAAAGTACTTGAAAAGGAAAAAAGACAAGATTACAAATGATTATTTATTCAAATACATATAACCACTTGTATTAATTGTTGATAAAAAATATTTTTTCACTACTTTTTCTTATTTTTCTTTCTTTATTTTATCAAAAAAATTCACGAAAAAATCTTATTAATCTATAATTTAAAATGATAAAATAGAGATAAATAAACCTTTGAAAAATGATAAGCTCAAAAGAGGAATTAAAAAAATGCCAATATTTCCTGTAATCATTACTTCCATAAATTTTCTATCTTGTAAAACTGAAAATACGACACAATATCAGTATTTGAAAAAATAAATTTCAGAATAATAATTTAAAAAATATACATTTAAAAAATTAATATAGTAGTTAGCGATATTAGTAATATGCTAATAAATTAGCATCTTGCCACCAAGAAGATTGAAAACAAATATTTGAATTAATTTTACCAAATAATGTTTGATTGCAACATAAAAACCAAATTGATAGAAATATTTCATCTAAATTTGCCTACTATCATCTGCTCTCAATCATTTTATGATGTATTATAATATTAAAACAAAAGATTTCGTGCAAATTTTCATAAATTAAATTATCAAAAACAAAAAAGAGAAAAATAAATGAAAAATAAAAAATAAGAAAATTGGGAAGAACTGAAATAAAAAGTAGAACTTTCTTTTTCTCAATAAATGACAACATTTTGCCACGAAAATCTGATTAAAAGATGAATTCTGAAGTAAATAGTTGACAGGCCATTGAGTACAACAATGTATAAATATATATATATACATATATTGTTGGAACGAGATGGCAGGTAACATTGGTATGTGTCCCTAAATATCCTCCTTACTAATCCGGCACGACCAGTAGTATTTTGACCTCAATTTTCTACATCGAAGAACTAATGGTTTCAACAAATTTATAGAAACGATATTTTCAAAACGAAAAAAAAAAAGAAATATTGAGCAATTTTAAATCAGTGATATTTTCAAGAAAATTGTCTTGAATAGCAATATCAGGTATTGAATAATCCATTGGAGCTCTTTTTTTTTTTTTTAGCAGCTGCATTAAACCAAAATTACAACAATGAAAAAAGTATATAAAATTTTTTTCAGAAAAAGAAACTTTTCAAGAATTTGGAAATGTTATTTCGATAGAAATTTTAAGTAGCATATTGGATCAAAGATTAGATGAGACAAAAAGATGATGAAATAAAATACAAGAAATTACATAGAATTGAAAATTGGAAAAAATAGTTTCAAAAAACAAGCACCTTTTTAATTGATGCAAAATTCTCGTATTTTCCAATGGAAAATTCATGTTTTCAAAATTTCTAACTTCATAATTATTGTTTCAAAAGCGTTTAATATGTTTACTTCAAAATATTCTTTCGTTATTTAATTTAGTTATCAATTCATGCAAACAAAGATTTAAAATTAAAATTTAGAATCATATATTCTGTTTTAAAATCATATATTAAAATTTAAAATCATATATATACAAAGATTTAAAATCATATATTCTGTACAATGCTAACTATCTGTACATCATTCAGGAATAATTTTATTTCCGCCCACAATGAAATCCGGAAATGAATTTTGAAAAAAAAAAGAACGAAACAAGATTTTATTGCTTTTGATTAAAAAAACACTTAACCATATTCCTGAAATTGTTTATATCATATCTTCTCAGCTACTGATTTTAATCACTTTAATGATTAAAAAAATGTGGCAATAAAAAAAAAAGCATCATAATCAGATTTTTCCTTAAAATTATTAAAAACTCATTTAAACAGTTTATTTCATAGTGTTTATTTTTTTTTATTTTCTGATTATATTTGCAGTCAAACATTTACTCGTAATAAAATTTTGCAATATGAATTGCAGATTTTATATATTTAAAATTAATTATTCAATAAAAATTTAATTATTGTTTTGCAGTTATAAATTTGCATTCATATTATATAAATGATTGAAGCACTTATTATTACACTAATTTATAGTTAATTATATTGACTACCATAGAAGGTATCCTACTTTTTTTTTCATATCGTTATCTTATAGTACAACCAGGATGATAATTTTTTCCAATAAGTATTATTTTATATATCAGATTAATACAAAACAAAAAAAAAAAATTAAGAAACTATGGGTTGTGCTATAAGACAATGATATAAAATAATGATCCCACCACTTTCATTTTTATTATATTAACTTTAATTTATTGTATTACAAAAGAATTTGCGTAAATTAAAAATTATGCATAAATGAGGAATGATAATATTTATCTAATCATTCTTATCATCAAATGCTTCTCTTAATTATCTTCAATAGCTTTCCTCCATTGTCATTTTGTATTTATTTTTAGTAATGATAAATGATCGTTTGTATAACTTCTAATACGACTATATAATTATTTGACTAATTATTTATCTATTATCAATAAATAGCCAAGCAATGATGTTTTGCAATCACGAAAGTTAATATATATTATTCTCTTCAACTACATTTATAAATCTTTTTCAATTATTTGTAAATTTAATTTAGTCTTCATTTAGATGGTGCTAAAAGTGCGTCTATGAAACAAATAAGACAAAAAAAAGAAACATATTAAAAAAAAGCATTCCGTAGAGAACCGAAGAATCCTTAAAATCCCCTTCTGAGAAAAACAAAAGAAAACAACCAAGAAATCCAGGAACTGTTGACAAAAAAGAGAACTTCAAAAATACCTCATTCAGGTATCTTGCCATAAGAAAAGAAAAGCCACCTTTGACCTTGGATGCAGTAAGCTTCAACAGGATCTTCAAGACATCCAAAACAGATGGTAGGTCAACCTAACAAAAAATACTCAACTACGCGCGAATTCGGGTGACTACAGAAGGTTTTATGAGATTCTGAGTATGGAGTGTATGGATTCACACGGGATGCTCAAAGTTCTCTACTCAACGCAGATGGCCAAATGTTTTTCACTGATAAAACCTTCATCTTGAATCGATGTTCTGAATATTTCCAGTATCTTTTCAATCTCAACTATGCTATACCAAAGTTCAGCAATTCAGCACACTGTACAATATCAGGTGAAAGGAATTGGATATAACCCCTGCTATGAGAGAGACTATTAAGGTCATACAGCAGATGAGAACCGGTAAGGTAGATGGAATTGGTAAAATCTCACTTGAAGTCAGGAAGCATGTAGATAAAGCATTCCACGTTAAATTTTTCGCGAGCTCGTTGTGCGTTACTGGAACAAAAGTGAACTACCATCAAATCTTCGCAATGCAGTATTTATTATCATCGTATACAAAAAGAAAGGAGAAAATTATACCATTCAAAATTACCGCAGTGTTACTTTGCTTTCTATTGCTGGTAAGGTTTCTGCAAGAATACCTTTGGACAGATCAGCACTTGGCATAATAGAAGGATTTCTACATGAAAGCCAATGTGGCTTCAGAATAAATAGGAGTACCACATATCTGGTATTTGTTACCCGACAACTGCAACAGAAATGCAAAGAACAGAGGTCTTTACATAACCTTCGTTGACTTCACCGAACCCTTTAACATTATGACTGAAAATGTCCTATAGCAGATCTTGGAACGATTAGGATGTTCATCCAAGTTCCTGAAAATGATCATGCTATTACATGAGAATCAATGCGACCAAGTCAGATATGGCGATGCACTCTCAGCTTTTCTCAATAATCGATGGGTGAAATATAATTGCATTATCTCACCAAGTCTCTTTACAATCTACTTTAGTATGATGCTCGAAAAGGCCATGGTAGAGCCAGATGAAGAAAATGGCATTTACATTCGACGGAAGCTTATTCAATCTAAGGCAACTGAAGGCCAACACTAAAGATTAAAAAAAAATTGTCACATTCGAGAGCAAGTTTTTGTCGATGATGCTGACCTCGTGGCATATATAGAAGTAACTCTGCAGTGCTTAACATCCAACTTTTTTGTGCTTGGATTTGACCTAAAAAAAACAGAAGTTTGCTAGCAATCAGCACCTTAGGAAGTCTTTCATCATCTGCGCATTGTCGAGAAAAGCCAATCTGAAATTCGTTTCTAGCGATATAGATTTATTCCGGATGTAACATTATTCTTGCACAATATTACTAGTTAAAAACAAAAAGGCGTAAAATATATATGCATAATGTGGTGAATTAGTAAGTAGTGATGAGATACAATAAACAAGCAATATGATCAACTACCAAATTCCTTCTCGTTACCTTCGATAATCATTCTACTGTCGATTAGCTGATATGTCGTTAAGTTGGGGATATGTTACAAGAACAAATGTATTTAGCGAATAGAAAGAATATCGTAGTTTGTTATCCAGTGGTGGCGGATGTACGAAAATGTCGTTGTTTGTGGTTCAATCGTGGAAGATATGCGAAGATTTATCGTCTCCTTGATTGTAAAAATTTCAGATATTTTTTTTACACTATGTATTAGGCAGGAGATTTTTAAGCTCTATTGGAGTTATCATGGAGGTATGGCTGCTCTTTGGCATTGTCCCTTGCGTAGGTACAATGGATATCGTTGTCCATGGTGTAGATACTGAAACGTTTTTGTGTTATGCTGTCCATTGTTAGCTTATATTCTCTTCATTGTTTTAATTTTACTTGCAAGATTTCATCACCTCCTCTGTTAGATATTGTGGAAATTTTATTTGAGCATAAACAGAGTTTAAATAAGTCCAACTATTTAGGAAGCATCATTTCTTCAGGTGGTAAGATTGACAAATCAATATACAACTTGGCAAGGCATATAGAGCTTTCAGAAAACTCTATAAAAAAGTCTGATGTAATCTGGAAGTCTGAAAAGTACAAAATCTAGTGTTTATAGAGCCACTGCATTGTCTATTCTTTTATATAGTCTGAATCATGAGTTGTCTACCTTACGCCATCACCTCAAACGGTTCCAACAGTGTTGTCTCCATACAATCCTAAACATTCACTGGAGTAACAAAATGGCTAATGCTACTGTCCTTGAGTAGGTAGGAATCATCAGTATTAAGGTCATGGCAGGGGTCACCTGTATTGAGGCCATGTTGCTGAGGACGCAACTCCGCTGAAAAGGGCACATCTCCAGGATGGAGGATTATCACTTCCCTAAGATTGTGTGCTCGATGTGTTCATCAACTTCCGCAACAGAAGAGTTCCAAAGAGAAGATATGGGGACTCCCTGAAGCAATACCTCGGCTTTGGCCATATTGAGTATCATCAGTGGTCCATTCTGATCTTCAATCGGGAGACATGAAGACTGACCATTCATTGCGTTGTTGCTTCCTTTGAGAACACATGCAGAATTAATCGTGAGAAGAGAACACAGAAAGAACCTCGTCTGACGGCTAAAGGGAACTTCCCTCTGTACTTTTTGCAGCCTACCTTGCCTCTCCCGCACTGGCCTTTTTGGTGATTCCTATATCTTCATTCTTGAAATCTGACCATGATGGTGATTTATGCTTTGCAATAAAGGTCCAAAGAAATGATTAGGGCCAGGGAGATTGGCTATTTCATCACTATATTTTAGTTTAATGAACTTCAAATTCAAAAAAAAAAAAAAAATAAGCATGAAAAGTGCTTTTTGGCATAGTTAGAGCAAATGAGAAGAAGAAGAAGGTTCTTCTTGTTTTTCAAGAATAACTTTTCCAAAAGTAAAAGGCATAAACTATCAGATAAGGTCAAAAAGTG